TCCATATACCCCAAGTACTGACACACATATTCTTGGCATAGCAAAATTTGTCTTCTCCTTTCCATGTTTGATGAGGCCACTAAAGCAGTAGGATTAGAAAATAGCCCTTACATTTGCCTCAGAGTTTCGGTGGTCCTGTGGAATCCGTGTCTCCTCCTCCATAAATAATACCCTATTTGAGTACACCAGCCTTAAACAATAGGTACCATCAGCATGCGTTAGCAGCCCTTATCAAAATATATCTTGGCACATTTAGCTCTTCTCAGTATATACAGCCTGAAATCACTATCTCTATAACCAACACCTGTGTAAACACCTTACATTTTAAATTACACCTTTTCCTTAACAGGTGATGCTTCTATTGCAGCTGAAAAGTAATGGGGCAAAAACCCCCTCAAATCCCTTGAATTTATTTTACTCTGCCTCTGTAGTAGAGGTAATCTATACCGCTGAATAAAGCTGCAACTCCAGTATTAGCTCACTGTGATCACTTTAATATTCCAAAGAACCTTTTGAAATGTTCATAGACAAAATTCCGAAACTGGACCACAAGTTGAAACTTCCACACATTTTAATAAAATGATTACCACTTGAATACCTTGCTCTTTTAGATTCTTTCTCATGTTTACGCTTCAAGTCTTTCATCAAGAGGTAACATCATTCCATTACACAAATGTGTGAAAAAAACCAGTAAGGAAAGGGAAAAGCTAAACTGAGAAAAGAACCTAAACTTTTGGAGTGCAGTGGTTTGCCCAGAAGTACAAGCTATTTCTCAGAAACATCACTCTGATTATGAAAGATGCTTTACAGATTTAGATGAAGTGTGCCTCAGTACCACCGCTAAACCCTGTTCTACAGCGACAGAAAAATTAAGGATTTGTTTTGAATATGTGAAAAAGTTTGTTTTGGTTCTCTGAACATGAAATAATTTCCAAACGAGTTTCAGAAGTATTAAATGCTCACAGATTCAACTGACATTTCTTAGAATTGTGAGAACTCAGCTGATTTAATGGCTGAAACACCTCAACATGGTCAGCTGGAACACGTGTCGAACAAAATTTTGAAGGATTTTAGTTTCAAGTGACTGATTAAAAGAAACGAACCTAGGAATCTGAGCAACAAGTTCTCTGTCTCCATACAGGCTTTCCACCCATTGCCTCAAAACCGCACAGATTCTATCCGCTTTCTGAAATAAATCATTCTATGATCACAAAAAACAACTTCCCCAGACATGTGAAACAGGATAGCCCAGACTATTTTGGATTCATGTGTCTTTTCCATTCATGTCTCCAGTTACAGGAAATTTCACATTCGTTAACAAGTAAACATTCACTGTGACTAAAACTACTAATACAACTACTACCAACTAAAAAAATACACACAAGGGAAGAGAAACAGGGTATACTTTTAAGTGATAACACAGTATTTTCTATTACACAGGCACACAATCACTGTATATCCATTCAGAAATAAGAACGAAGAATTCAAATAGAAAGTGAATGCATGCTCTTCAGATCATACACCACCATACCCAGTGTTTTCAGAGTTATTCCTAATTTACAATCAAGAGCTGAGCTTAAATCATGCTGTTTACAATGTAAAACACTACAGGTGAAGAATTTACATCTAAGACACTAAGCAGAATCATAATCAACAGTGATGCATCCAAAACCACAGTTTTGTCTGTTGTATGCATGTATTTTCTGTCATTATTGAGGATATTTATGTTACACCATTTATTGGCTGGAACATACATTGTCATACAAACACGACTAATATTTTCAAGGCCATACACACACAAAAAAAAATCAGAATTTCCTCACTTGCTCCAATTTGTTCTTCCTGATCATGTGACAAAGTACTTCTGTCGATAACTAGCTCTTATTGCAGTACAGAAAGTAACAAAGACAGGTCTGTGATCTAAGACCTCTTTTACTTTATGTTGCTATTTCTTGTTGATGTAGCGGCAAACACCATTCTCCACTGAGGTGAGGACTAATAGCCTTATAATCATGGGCTTTCAGTAGTAGAGAAACTCAGATGTGAAATCAACATTACTTCTCTCTCTGGAGGCTCTGCACAGCCACTGGGATGTACATTAACGATTAACTTGAATAGCATGACTCCTCCTCGAAGGAAGGAATCTGTAGTATTAGGAAAAGCTGATCAGCCTTTCTTCTAATACATTACAAATCAGAATGTGACCCTCGCACGTGGAGGTAAAGGCAGAGGTTAGGAGGAGAGGAAGGCTTTCTTCAGCAACTGCAAGAGAATCTTGGAAATTGGGTTAATACTGGTTTTTTCCACTTGAGAAATTCTTCCAAGTTTACTTCTTACTTGCAGACTAAAATGCTACATATTTGCTGCTAGTAAATAAATGAGCTGCATTTCACTCAGTGCATTTTTATACCAGTGGCTGAATACTTAGAATGCACTTTACTAGCTCCTAGGTCTGACCACAGGCACTTGCAATGCAGATTTAACCTCCCTGAGGCTGTCGCTCGCTATACTAGGTAATTTCAGGCAAGACAGTTTTACTTACTCTTCTGGTCTGAATGTTTCCTCTTACAACTTTTATTTCCTCTTATTTATTCCTCAGGTTCCTGCCAATGAAAAGCTTTTATGACGTCCTCTCTGAGGACTAGCATTACATTTACTGTATAAGACATGCATTTCTAAAGCTGACCTATAACTGTTGCTCTGTAACCAGACTACAAGGCACAGGTCTTGGGCTTTTTTACTTTAAAGCAGGGTGTTTTGAGTGTGGAATAGCATCAGTTTTATGCAACACCGCATGCTGTCTGGCAGGTGGATAAAATAAACAACTGCTGTATGTTCCCAAAGAAGCGAATTTCCTGAGTAGGTCACAGCAGTGAGACAGCAGAGGAAACCAACCTGGTAAAATGATAGTCTACAAAAGCACGCCAAAATATCCCATTTCTGAAATCTGTTCTCCCAAATCCAAATCTTATTTTGCAATGAAGCTGACAAAGCTGAGGAATAATTTAAAAAGCTGAATGGCTTGGAAACAAACAAGCAAAAATCCCTCCCTGCAACTGAACAGATTACTTTCAGTCACTAACCTGCACAAAATGTTTATTAATACGGCTGTAAACCCAGAATAATTTCTGTCTTGATTCATCTGCCTTATAATAGTAGTATCCCTGTTTGATACAATAAACAGAATCCCAATAAACAACTGCAATAAACAGTAAACAATAAACATGCTGTTGTTCTGGCAGAATATAACCAACTAGGAGAGACGACGAGCCTATGTTTTGAAGGACTGTTAAAAAAAAGTATAGCAAAGAATTAAAATGTAATCATTCTGTATAATTTTGTTTTTAGGAAAAAAATCCATCCTCTTGCCGACAGAAATTTACACATTTTGCTAAGCAGATTTATTTCTCACATGAAAGAGGGGTCATGGGGTCAAGATCTCCTATGGTCTGAGAGGTGCAGTACATCAACTTCAAGACTGCAGATTACACTTGTCACAAGTTTATTTCTAGGGAATGATTTTGCAAGAAGGACAAGAGCTGAGTTTTTAACAGAGAATAAATTTTGCTGTGTCATATTTAAGCAACTACAAAAATATTGTCTTCTATGATTTTAATTACACTGCTGAGTCATTTCCAGCACTGTGCTGAGACAAAAATGCACATCTGCAAAGTTAAGTGAACATGAAGAACAACTCTGGTAGGACTGAAATAGACATTAGCCAAGGGAACCTTCAGTGTTCATATTGTAAATGTTGCTGGGAAATACATATTATTTTGATATCTGAAGTCTGCAGATTCTTTCTTATGCTTTATAGATCCTGTTTACACAGATCTAAACGAAAACTATGTGGAATAGCTGCTAAGTGACAATAAAAATTTGCACTGGACCACAAGCCTGTCATAAACATTGCACTCATAGATCCGCCTTCACATTTTCCTTACAGCCTTTGCCTTGTGTTTAATCTGAAATAGAATACTTTGCCTTAGATGTGATGTTTAGAAACAGAAGACTCCTTATTTATATCAATTCTTGACTTAATCTATTTTAATTTACACAACACCACTCTAATATTTGGTATATTTCTGTTTTGATTTGCATTTGTGAAATAGAAGCATATTAGCATGCAGTGCCAAGAAGCATTCCAGTTCAACTCAGCTTCAGCTTTGTTCTTGGACATGGAAAGATGTGTGCATATGTAAGCACAGTGCAAGAAGAGAAAGGAGGGGAATACGAAGTCAACGCCTTGTTACATTTACTAGAAAACACACACCTTTTCTCATGACCACTGTATCTTGAAGTAACTAATGCCAGGCTTCCTGCTCCTCAGCTGACCAACTGAGGGTAAGACTCAGCTGTCCAGGTGCAAATATAACCTATAGTAGTGAAGGCTGAGGAAGGACAAACTTTCCTGACAGTTTATCTGTGTCCAATAACAACCTGGTCTCCAAACAGCGTAACAGGCGTCTTCCTTCCACTTACCTTGCAGGGGACAATGAACTGAAAACGAGCATGGTGTTTTGAAGACTCCAATCAAGCACACAGATCTTTACAACCAACATATATACTAGAGTCATATTTTTCCCACAGTATGAAAATGGATATAAAATTCATTTTGAAGGCTGTCTCATCCTACTGTGCAGGAAAAAAATACACATCAAAACTCATTTCCTCTAGGTTGAAACCAGCCTGAAAATTGGGTTAGATAGTATGTAACCTATAATACTACCAGCAACATTAAAATTTTTAATGTAATGACCTCCATTTTTAAATTTTGCTTTTTCACTTGTTCTAAACATTTATCTCTTTAATTTGAATGCCGTACCCCTATAAAATCGGTCACTTTTAAGCTCTGTGGTAATCCTCTGAAGATATAAAAAATGCACTTACAGGAGATAACTTTCCACTACAACACGCTTCTCATGTAAGGATATAACCTGAGAAAATCTAATTCTATCTTTTTTGCTATTTTCAGTTTGTCCATTTTTATTCGTAACTACCTCTGATGTTTTGATGTCCTCGTAAGAAAACTGCGTGGCAGGTACTCCAAGATGGTTGATGAAATAATCTGAATCTCCTTGTATCTGCACAGAACTCACATTAGATCCTGGACATTTAGTCTTTTCCACACAGTTGAAGCTCTGGCTCTGAAAAACAACACAAATCAAAATTCTACTTACTTCTGTTTGCAACCACACTCTTAATAACTCGTATCAATATCTCATTTACTCAGCATTCTCTGGGTTGAAGCATTTTAAAAACAGGCTGGAACGTACACTGATGCAAGCAGCCATTAGCTAATTCACTCTTAGTAGCGAGTCAGTCTACAAACCTCTCACCATCTATTGATATATATGGCAGTCTTTGGGATTGGACATAGCAGAGAAGCAAGAGTGTGGTGCAACATGGCCGAGTCTTTCAAAGGACAATGAAAGTCATACCTAATCAAAATGGTAGGAAGGGCAAGAGAAGCAGCCTTGGTAGGCATATGAAATGTCCCATACTGGGCAGGTGATTATACGTCATCATGGGTACCTTTTGGAAGCAGTTTCTGAGCTCTTTAATGGATACCAAGGAATCAATTCTTTATTGAGTCAATAGCATGCTCTCTAACAGCAATAAGCTGAATCAGATCATCTTATTCAAGGCATCTATGGTCTATGAAATGATGGCAACGTAAAGAATTTGCTGCATTTGCAGAGTAGGAGTTAAGAGAAAAACAGTTAAAAGGCTAAAAATACAAAAATACACATTTTCTGGGTAAATTTCTTAAAACAAGTGTAGTCAGTGACGTGTCTGTATTTCTTTCACATAAGTATTTAATGGTGAAATCTTAGCAACACAATTGCAATAAATATAAGACGAAAACCAGAAAACAAGCCCAAGACTGAGTGCCACATACTGATGTAGCTTTCAAATACATTCGATAATCAAACACTTAATAAACAATAGGCACTAAGGCTTTCAACATCTATTATAGCAAATAAACTACTTAGGTTTCTTTTTCAGACTGTTAAGAAGTTGAAGTACTAGAGATTATTTACATTTAGCTAACAGTTTATATAGTATAACATAACTTCCTCAGACCTACCTACTATATTACTAGCTTGCTACAGGAACAGTGTAAAGATTAGTTTTCCTTTAATACTAAAATACACCAGATTGTGTATATTGAAGTTACTGAGGTTAGCAGGAAAATGCTTTAAGAGCTACAAAGAGACAAATCTTGGTATTTTTTCATTTTTAAATTAGCATAATTACTGCTTCAGTTTCACTTCCGTGCTATGAAGAATGCAACTGCATGTTACCCACTATAAATAAGGGCTACAGATTCTCACAGAAAACTATTTTAAAATATCTTCAAGAAAGTGTTTTTGAAAGGTGGCTATATCACTCTTTTTTTTGTTAAACATTTCTGCTCCCACCACTCTTACACACATTCACAGTTGTGCAAGGTCCATTCAAAAAGACAGAGTCACAGTCAAAACAGAAACAAAAGATCACTTCTGCATGTGCAGTTCACCTCTAGTAAGTATTACCCTCTCTAAAGATATCCGTGGAGAAACACGATTCACAGCAGCCAAAATTCTGTGTCTCAATGGCATAGTAAGAAAAAAGAATAATAAACATTAACATAGCATTAATCTTAGGTGTCAGTTGTAAGTCACAGTTGTTAAAACATTGCAGACAAAAGCTTAAAACAGGGCTTCTTGGGGATTTTTTATATTTAGATTTAAGAGATTTTTTAAAAGTTTTTAAACCCGAAAGCATCTCTTTAATTACAACTTTTGCTCCTGTGCTTCACTCCCCCTTTACACCATTCCTGAGCATGTTTCAATCACACTGAGAAGACATTTAGCACCACCACAGCATGACTGTTCAAAGACATACAAATACACCTGCTATCTAAACAGTCTCAATAAAGTCAGTAACCTTGTTTTTATAAACCAAAGCTACAACAGAAACAGCAGAAGGCCAAACCACATACCCATTTCAAAAGAGGATTTTAAATAACCACATTTTATCTTCTACAATCTTTCCCAGTCAAAACACTGTATAGTACACATCCACATATAAAGGTATGTTTATAATTTTATGCATATATATGCACACAAGATCCATTCTTAAGTGATTGCTCCTTTCAGGAATTATAAGACGTTTTAGTATCACACAGTGTACTATACTACAGTGCAGATCAGAATAATTTCCTCATACTGTCCCATCACATTTAGTCAAGTTTCATAAATGATGAGTAATCTGTTCTTCCTTTAATGTTTACAAGTTTACTGAATTATGTGAAATACAGCTTTTGGGTTCAACACGAAAACATCTTAAATAAGCAAAAAAACCCAGAGTTACCTACCAATGGAAATCGCAAAGTTAAATAACCATATTATTCCTAAGAAAACTGTTGGGCAAAACAATTCAGTATCAGAAATGACAAACAGTTGAAGAGTCAACGATCCATAAGGAAGCCACATACCACACAGAAGGATCTTGTTTTTCTGCAAAGACCTGATCCTATGTCTCAGTAAACACAATGGCAGCAAAGCTCTTCAAGGCTAATGCTACTCGCACCTTCTCAGGTTAAGACTTTATGTAACTATCGTGACTATCCAGAACTAATTTGCAAGAAGTAATCAGCAGCAGGGGTATCTTGAAACATGGTAAGGATCAGCAAAATCTTAATGCATACCTCACAGAGGTAAGGAAATGGAGCAGACGAATGTACATTTTTGTCCTTGTAAATCTAAATATAACCTTTCACTCTACTTCGCAAACATTAACCTTTCACCATCACCTATGTATTTACATCTAAAATTTGTTATGAGATTTTCAGAAAAGGAATACCGTAAGCTGTTGAGTGGAGGTACAAGTCTAGAATTCCCAACTGGAGAGGGGGTAACAGAGGGTTAACAGAAAAGGAAAACAAAGTTTCATACAATGAATAGAGCAAAAAATTTCACGCAGCAAAAAATGCCAGGAATTTTTGATCTAATATGTGAGAAGTCAATTAGTGTAACTGTACAAATGAAGTTCTAAGGCATTTTCCACTAGAGTCATCTCACCTACACCCCAAAATTGTTCGCCCAGTATCAAGAACACTAGAAAGCTGGATCACTATTGTCAACTACTAAGCAGATTAGGTTTCACAAAAAAACAATCAATGTTATAGATACTGCAGGGACACATTTAATTAACAGACTATGTTGGTATTGTTCCCTTTTCTGTATTATTTCTGAGGTAAAAATGATGGTAGAGTCAGTTAATTCTGAATATACACCAACCCCCACTTCTGCTAGCATATCAGGAACCGAAGAGAGATGTCTTCCTTTTTCAGAAACCCAAGCCTGAATTTTAGCCAGAAATCTGCCTCTCAGAAAACACTTCACTACATTCCTTTTCAACTATCCAAAAAGAATCAGTTACATCTTTCCTCACTATAGCAACAATGAAATAATTTTTACATATGAAAATTTACATACAAAATGTTTACAGATTCAGTTAAGAGTACAGTAAGATACAGTACTGTTTGTTCTTTATATCACCATCCTTCATGGTATAGGATTTAAATTTTTATAACAGCAATGTTCTGTTAGATAGTGCTAGCATCTTAAGAGTTTAACTACTTGGTTCAACTTTTACTGTTCTGACACACAAGCCCCTGCTAATATATGTGATATATACGATAATATACTATGTGGGTCACAGAACTGACAGGGTGGAGGACAAGATTACACCAATGCCAATATCCAGAAACACAGGATTTAAAAGCAATTCAAAGTTCTTCAAGGCCAAATAATTTGTCATTCATCATGTAATAGCAACTGTGGATCACTGTGGAATTCTGCTTTCCCCTTCTTTTTTTTTTCCTCACCAACTAATCTGCTATTTTTTCATGTTTAAAATTGTGTAATTTACAAAAAAAAACTCTTTATAACTTAATAATTTGATTAATAAGAATTCTGATAATCCACAGAATCTTTCCTTTCCTACATGCAGAAAACAATGTACAGGTTCTCAGTTCAGAAAAAAAGCTTAATTGTTATGCATTACTTCACCAGTTGCAGTCAGGTCCTACTTAATGATCCTTTAAATGTTAGCTTTTATGTAGGAAAAAAAAATTAAGATCTTTAAAAATGCATCGAATAAATAATCAGCACCACGCTCTGTAAGAACCGACTCCCTGTTAGAGAGCAGGCAAACTACATTTCTTCACCTGGTTAGTCTTAGAGCAAAACACATATAATAGCACTATTAAGACCACTCAGTTGCTCAGGCTGGTCTCCACCATGCCAGTCAAGCCCTCCCTTTCGAATGGAAGGAAATCAAGCCATGTGGTCACACAGTAACCAACGAGTGGTTCATGTCAGTGCAAGGACACACGTGCTATTTCTAATTGAATAATTTTATTTCTCTGGAGTTCATTTTGGTTTTCAGCATCATGTTACAGGTTTATACTACAAATTTAAGAAAATGAAGAGTACCATATGGTCCATCAAATACATTTAAATTGGATTAATGTTATAAAATAGACCTGACACATCTAAAGTATAATCGAGTGGTACTTCACTGCAGGCCTTATTCTACCACTAATTAGAGCTAAGCATTCATAGGTGCCTTTTGCTGCAGTCTTAAGATCCTGGTATAAATAAAAGTCCATATTTAAAAAAAAATGTTATTGGCCATTTCTACGGTTCACATTCCACCTAGAGGTATGTACCTGTCAGTTAGTTCTGGTTACCTTTGTCCCTTTATGTGCCTCCAGCTGAAGTTGCAACCCTAGCAGCTTTTGAAAACAGATTGAAATGTCTAAGTAGGTTTCAACAGGACAAATAAAGAAGGACCAATTATTCTTACAATGTGTCAGTGATCCCAGATTCAGAACTACAGCAAGGAAGCTTATTCTTCACGAATAATCAATCTTTATTCCTTGAGCTGAATCACCACCTGTGATAGGAACTGGTGCAAGGCAAACGCATTTAAGAAGAGAAGCACGGTAACACCGTTTAGATGAAGTAAAATGATCTAAACAAAGAGCTACAGAATTTTTTAAATTAATCACAAACCATGTAAAAATGCAGAAAGCAACAGATTAGCATCTTTATTACTGCAAATGTGTTATGCTACATCATCATCAACAGGT